AGGACTCCAGCCTGGAGTCCAAAAGACCTTTGTATCAGAGGCTGGCACACCACAGTCCAGAAGCACCTTCTTCTCCACCAGCCAGCTCTCAGTGCTCATTGACCAGGGCTGGCAACAGACCCTTTGAAGTTTGCTGCCTTTATTGCCTTCCCCAAGGCAAATCTCACTGTATGTCCAGAATAGGGCTGACACTTATGTTCCATAACCTGAAACTTCACCACCAGAGTTTTCACCTTTCTCTAAAGCTTCAATGAAATCCTTCATCAGAGTAGAAGTGGTACAAAAATTAGCTGTGCCATAAAAATGAAGAATTTAAAAATATTTTCAATATGCAGATGCATGCCAAAAGCACAGTAAGGAGCCCACCATGAATACATTACAGGAATTAAAAAAAAAAAAAAAAGTTTGCTTGTTTCTAAATTTCCTGGAGTTTGCTTAATGTCAGCAGTCCCATTTAACAGCAGAAATGTAAAACCCTGTGACAGCTATTGAACCCCCGACCCCTGATAGGCAGTTACCAGCTTTGCGGGGACTGGTTTTGAAATCATTCAGTCTGTTAGCCTGCATCTTGTTACAGTCAGTGCAACTGATGCAATACTATGAATCTCTTTTTCCCCTGTACATTTTTAACTCTCTCATGCCAGCAATTATTTTACATATACAAGAATATAAACCAGGGCTGCTCTGTTTCTTGGGGACCATTCAGGGAACAAGGTTGCATCCAGTTTAGTTTAACTGGTAAATATTTAGGAGAACAAGAAGATAGTTTTTATCTGAAACATATTTTCATATCCTTGAAACAGTGAAGCAGCAAGAAAGGGACTGAAAAACAGCCTGCCATTTCCTTTGCTGCCTCTATTTTGGACTGCTTTTGACCCAGCATATGTGAGCATGCACACTCACTTGCTTGGTCTGCTCTTTTACACCGTGACTTCACTGTAAAGTTCAATTCATCTGTTCAAAGCAATGACTGAATCACTGTCTATAAAATTATGGCATTTTTCCACTTAAAAAAAATAAATAAAATAACACTTCATTTAAAAGTTATTTTTAAACCTAGTTGGCCTGAAGCCAATTTTAGTCAAAACTGAAATGGATTCTTCTTTTCCTAGAATTCAATGCCTTCGTTTTCTAAAATCTATCAGCTAAAAAAAAAAAAAAAAAAAAAAAAGAGTAAATGCATGGTTTACACTTCTTTCTACACCGTTTTACCCTCTGACATACTAGTAGAGTTCGTTTTTCAGCATACTACTATGCAACAAACCCAGTTTTTATTACGAGTCTTTACTTCTTCTAGTTTAGGAACTTAACTCAAACACAGACTTCAGCAATCCCAGAGCTGAACCACTTTCAGTTTGAATTTGCCCGGGCACTTTTAGAGCATCATCACAGCCAGTAACTGGCTGAGTCAGTTTATGTCTGGGAGGTGACTGAAAAGCCTTCAGAAACATGACTGAATTTGAAAAAGAAAGCATCAGAGCCTTATTACAATACAAAGATACATACAGCTTCTGGCACTATATCTTCATTTACATGTCAATAGCCAAGCATGAAACACATTAGCTGTGAGCGCTGTTGTCATATACGTAGGTAGAATGAGTATCACTAATTTCCCATTATCCAGGACTGTCTCAAGAGCCGGGAGAACATCTGGTCTTCTTAATGAAGTAGCTGATCTGGAATCTGGGCTTAGTAAAACTATCCCCCCATCAAAGAAAAAAAAAAAGAAAAAGAAAAAGAAAAAAAGACAGACTTGAATCTAAGCAATTAATGTCACCAAGAAGTATTTTAAGGAATAACAAGCAAACTGACCTGGCAGGGAGAGTATTTTCCTCCTCCTTTCAAAGGGAATCCTATTTTCCCAAGAGAAAATTCAAACTAAATTACACTAACGGAACTTATATTCAGTGAATGTTCACATGTGCAGTATTATCTGTGACAAATTCACGGAGATGTGAATACAGGATTTATATGCTTCTATTCTACATGTTTTGCAAAGGGTTTCAGCAAGCACAGTAAAGCAAAATAATTAAAAGGTAAGAGCTTTGTAGTCATTTTATCCACAAAAAGTAATTTAATCAGATTTTTATTTTCCAAGTTGAATTTTCTCAAGTCTGAGCTCAACATTAAAGTGTTGGATTCTTCAAATTAAGCAGACATAATTGGCTAGCTCAGAGCTTAAGAATGCAAAGAAAAAAGGTTATTTTTTAGTATTAAAAAGTGTCACTTTGGTTTTCAGTATCTAAGGATTTTGAATCAAAATTTCATGAGGACACAGCTCTATCTAATCTTTTAACCTAACAATGTTGGACACATCCTGAAGACAGACTTCATGAGGAAGTTACAGGTTTTGCTATTGTGTTCAAATAGCAGGCTCTGGAGGGCTGGTTTGGAGGGATTTTTTTAGCGTTTTTTTGTTTGTTAGCTTTTTTAATGAGGGTGATGAAGATGCACAGGGGAGGAAGCAAATGGTGGATTAAGACAGTCAAAAGCATTCAGTTCCTCTGTCTTCAGTACCTGGACTGAAGGTACAATGCTCTGCGCAATGCTCCACTCTTCCTCTGGGCAAGGCTGGAGAGTGAGTGGAGTTCAGTTATCATATTAGTAAGATGTGGCCTGCCAGCATGTGCTTGCTGAATGAGGTAGGCCTCCATTACCTCATTCTACAGGACCCATTTACAGATTTTATCCAACAAAGCTTTTGAAGATACATTTAGCTATGTGAAAAAAAATCTCATGTTAATGATTGTGCAACAATAAAAAGTAAAATTAAAATGATTAGTAATCCACTGATGATCATAAACCCTCTTCACTGCCCTTCCTCCACATTTTATTAGGAACTCATTCCTCCAATGTTTATTTTTATTTTTGTAAATCTAAGAATGCAAAACTAAAGGCAGAGGTATAAAAGCAGCCACAATTTTGATGGGTGGGTGAAGGATCTTCACATATCTACATATGGCATGGTCCACAGTATGAATTCCACACTGGGCAGAACTAACAGGAGGGTTACAGCTCTGCTAGCAACCCAGTAAATCTGCACCAGGACAGTGAGGAAGGGTTATGCAGCTTTGCAGCATAAAGCTGCATAAGAAGCTTTGAGAATCCATCATCACTCCCAATCTGCCGTTCCTGTCTTCCCCCAACCCCTTCTCAAAAACTCACTTGTCCCTGCTCAGGTTTACCCATTTCATTTTTCATGCCACTAGGTGCAGAAATCTTAAGATGTTTGTGGGGTTTGAGCCCCTGCAAGCAGCTGTAAGCTAATTCTACCTGTCTAACCAGGATAATGTCGCCTCCAGAATCCAGCATGAATAACCTGTGTGAAAGAGAAGGGGGAGACACAGAAGAGGATACAAGAATCCTTACAAGGAACTGGGTCCAAGAGGAAGACCAGGATGCTTTTCTGGAGATTTCTTTTGGAGTTACCTTCTGGATGATAGCCCATGCCAGAGGGAGAACACTTCTGAATCTACAGCAAGAATTGCCCTTTGCTCAGCATGAAAGGAAAGCTAACAGCTCCACAAGTCCTCACATCTCGCAGGTTTCTCCTCTATTTGCTTATGGATGTCCTGCCTCCTGCTAGCAATTAATTCTACGTCAGATGCTACTGGTCCTGACCGTAGGGTGCCCCAGAGCTCAGGTCTCTGGAGAACACCGCTGGCCCATGCAACTCCTGAACTCCAGACTGTTTCTGCCAGCTCCAAGAGCTCTTTGGTGCCTCATCTTTGCCCACGTCCCTTGACAGAGCATCTACAGTCTAACCTTTCTCCTCTGGAGACCAGATCATCATCCACTGCAGCAGCAAACCCTTAAGTCAGATATTGTAAATAAACATTATAAACATTACCCTGATGTAAAGTTCCTGTCCCTGTGCCATCAATGCACCGCTTCTCTGAACTTGAGCTGGGCTACTCAGTCCCAGCTACTGTGGAGACAATAGAACTCAAAACCTGGTTAAAAATACAAGAACTGAAAGCAGACAAAATTCCCCAACCTTCATAACATTTTAAACGCACCTGGGCCTTTCCCAAATGCTTGAGACTCACAGTGAAATAGTACCGACAGTATTTCAGGGGTTACTTTCAACATTTGCTGTCAAACGTCTTTTAATGCTCCAGATACATAGATACATCTTCCTAAGGGTTAACATACCAAAACAGGAAGGGGGAGTGAGGGGGGGAGGGGAAGCACAAAAGCTGTCCAACTTCTTTCCATGGTATGACAAATTCTCTCTACATCATATTCCAAAGTGTGAGATGTACAATTTCCATTCTTAAGCTCAATGAAAATGGCATAAAAAAGTAGTAACTCTGGGAACTGGTTGATTATTAGTTTATCAGATCAACATCAGCAAAACTGTCTTTTTATGTGCTGCTTACTTTCAAAAAAACCCCCTACCATGCATATTTCAGTTCTCCCTCTCCACACCCCACACCCTTCTGCTGCTGTCCAGCTGGAACACATCAAGGGTCTAGAAGCCAAGTCAAATGTTGACCCCACCCTCCTCCATCCATTTTAAGGCACCTTCAAAGCCAGTACACTGATCTAGTTCAGCTTAGCCAACAACGCCAGCAAATCTGTTATTTAAGACTTTAGTGCTGGCTTTTTATAACTGCCCATTAATACAAGCTTTGATGTATGGTCAAAAAATCCAGCTGTAATGAGTTTCATCAGACTGTAGTAACCTTTCCTCAGAAGGTCTTTATTACTATACCTTCATAATATTTGGTCCCAATACTGTTTTATAGTATCATTCTTACTGAACTGCCTTAAAAAACAACACTCAGCGACACTTAACACATCTCGTTCCCCAAAATTAAAACAAAGAGCCATTAATAGTTTTCTAGAAGACGCTTTTGCACCCACATTTTTAATAGGAGATTGCAGTTACGAGCATGCAGGACAATAGCTGTGTGAACCAAAAGATAAACCAATTTTCCTGACAAAACCCATCAGAGGAGATACAAAAGGATTTTGTAAAAGGACAAACAACTTACTCTGTTGTTCCCCTTTGCAGGATGCAGTAAGGAGGAAAGAGGGGAGAAAAGAAACATTAGATATATTAATTTCACATGCATTCAGTCTAACTTGTATAGTTCTGGAAACAGCTCAAACAAAATGAGGAACTGACTCAATGAACATTCTCTGAAACCTTTAGTTAGACAGCTTCCAGGGGAGCATAGGACATTTGCAAAGGATTCAAAATGTTCAGTGAAGTTGTAAATTCACGCTGTTTTTCAAAATTTCCTCTCTACACAAACACTCTGATTCCACTTTTGCTTCCATCAGTGTAAATCAGGAGCAGCTTCTGGGAAGTTGGTGGACACTAACACAAGGGAGAAGAAAATGAGGCCTAAAATGATCTAGGCGTAGGATGGAAGCCAGAGGGATTTTCGTGCGCTGGTACTACTGAACTTCCAGTATACAAAGCAACCCACCAAACATGTCTGCTTAGTCTTGCATGACAGCCACTCCCTATGACAGGCCAATGAATGGAAAGTTTATGATCCAATCCCTTTTAAAAAGCAAATATTGAACTTTTAGATTAGTAATAAAAATAAGGAGGAGATGGCATTAGGGGACAGAGGAAAGGAATGGATGGTGCTAGCAAGGTAAAGTGTGCAGATCAAATTACGACAAACATCTGTGATATTTTTTTTTAATTGTGAGTTTTGCCACAAGCTGGCATGAACAGTGTATATTATACAGTGAGAAGCCAGCCAAAATAAACACCAGCCTACAGTGGAGAAATATAGTCTGGAAAGGTTAGTCATTTTTTTTAAAAGTTGTAGTCATTTTTTTTAAAAAGGAGGGGGTTTGGATGCATCAGCCCAGAAATCCAGCAGTAAAGTCAGCTGGTAAATGGATATTCCGTTTCAAAGTGAATTGTCCACAGTGTGATTTATCTTGAGCAAGCTGACTTGCACATGGGTTGAAAAAATAAAAACACTGATTCACTGCTATCCCGGTGGCTGTCAAAGCCCACGTCCTGACAAAAGCAAATCTCCTGGGGGAAAGAGATGACTTGGCAAGCTGCAGAAGAATTCAGGAGCTCATAGAGCAACATTGAGGAGTGATTAAAGATAGTTAACAAGAGAGTGAATATATAAATGTGAGTGTGCATCCCCATGTGCAGAATGCAGCAAAATGAAGTGAGAAAATGGAAGAATAGGGTGATTTGTTTAGGCAAAAATAAAAACTAAAATGCAGCAGCATTGGGATTAGGTTACATGATTAAATCAGTAATAGAAACTTCACATTAGCATCAGTAAGGACTGAGCCCCATTACCACTGTAATCACACAATTTTAAGTAGCATTACTAAAAAAAAAAAAAAAAAGAGAGAGAACAGAAAAATTAATATTCTTAGTTGAGAGATTTGCCCCTGGTGAGAATTCAGAACAAATCTCTAATTCAGTGTTAAATTTCTACTTTTCCTGTCACTGCAGAAGGAACCCAGCTAGGGACAACTGAGTTGGGTTTTACATCAATGTCCTTGTATGCAAGCAGCAGAACTGTTAATGAAAGCACACAGCTTAGCTTTCAAATTCCAGGCTGCGCACACTGCTCTGGCAGTTACAGAAAGCAGGCCAGCTTCACCACTGCAGTACTCCAGGTTTACAGCACTATTAATCTATTCTTCATTTCTAAGCAGCAATTTTTCTACTTCTAGTGCCAAAGCCTTGGATACTCAAAGTTCCCAGCTGTGACATACACATGAAAAAGAGTGAGAAGGTCAGTCTGGGAAGGGGCTAGGGTACCTCTTTGCCTTTTTAACTCTGGGATTGCAAAGCTGTGGGGAATCAGTGAAGAAAATGCAAGTTGCTGCCATTTCCTGGCAGTCTCTCTTAGAAAAAAACACGGTCTCTAAATCTTTGAAGCAGAATAAAAGACTGAAAAGAATAAAACACTCGAAAACTATTTTATATTGCCAGATGAAGGTGTGACACTGTGGAGTATGCACAGGATTTTAATGAAACGGTGATGATTTTTGTTTAGGTTTCAGTGGAACTTCTAAGGTATCCCGGGCCTTGGAGCTTTCACTTTGTAAATTCAAAACCTTAAAAGTAAACTTGCAGTGCACATTTGAACCTCTAGTCCTGCAGGAACAAAGTGCTTTGCAAGACTAGAGTAGGATCAGGCATCTTTCCTGAACAGCTTGATAGAGTACTGGGTGAATTTCAAACTACAGGGGGTTGGAACAATAATATTCACTCTTTTTGTAATGTAAAGATATTTCCAGCTCAAAGAAGAACTGAATTTTGACTCCCTTCTACTTCTGTCTTTCAAGGAAGTCTCTCATCTTCTATCTAAGGCTCCCTTGACAGACCAACTTTAAACAAAACCAACAATTCTTTATAAACATATTTTGAATACAAAATATTTTTAGGGGGAAGGGAAGAATGAAGAGGAGTTTAGAATCCAACTAATCCATCTTGATTAAAAATAAAATAAAATATATATGAATATGATAAACATGTCACAGAATGCAAGATTAAACCAGAGGGAGCAACAGGCTTTTTTAACATCATTATGAAAACCTGAGCAAGGAAAATAAAACACAAAACAATACAGTATTTTGTCCCTAGTAATTAATTAGGTAACCTCTTGTAACTAATCCTTGTAAAATTACTTTTGATGCCTTAGGTAGGAAGTAATCTACTGAGACAGGCAACAGACTGAAGAGTCACCAAATTTTATCTATTTTTTTAAGTTAAAGTCTCAGATACCTGGTAGGTCTCCTGTTAAATTTGTATTTGAACTATTCTTTAAAAAAAATCATCATCATTATCATCATCACTGTTCATTACTATAATAATTGGAGAATCCAGCAGTTCAAGAAGTCTTTGATTTATCTGTTGATGGTAGCTGTGAAGCTTGGTATGAAGAGACAAAGCTGAGGGTTGTTTGCTAAACAGCAGCTGGAGAAGATACAGGCAAAATTATACAGGAAGCCATGGAGGTATCACAAGTATAAGAGAAATATGAGTAACAGAAAGATGAAGAAATAGAAGACAGCATAAGACCCTGGACTCAAGGGACCTGGCCTTCCCATGGAAAACAAGCAGAGAGAAGAACAAATTCCATCAAAATCAAAGCGACTTACTGAAGAAAGGTGCACTGTGCATTAGAGAAACTTTCAAAAGCTCATATGACAGGTATTTTTGCTCGTCAACCATGTTTCTGGATATATCTCCTCAGTCAGTCACTTGATATTAAATATTAACATAACTAAGTCCAAAAAATATGAAATGGTAGTTGGGCATATCTCATTTCCTGACTTTCTGTCTTTTCTGTTAAATTAATAAAGGCTTTTATCTTGTTAAATTTGCTTCACATGACAATTAGCTGAGTAAAACTGCTTTTGGAAAGGTTTAGCATGCGTTTCATACATATAAAACATGCAGTAAATCAGTAAAATAAATATACATGATTGCCTGGAATGCTTCTGTCAGTTCTGTAATACAGAGCTTGAAGGAATAAACTCTTCAAAGCACATCTTTACCTTAGAAGACATTAACAGAAAGAACGAAGCTCAGGAAACCCCAAATTACTCAACTTTTACTACACAGATCCTACAAAATACATTTATGATTTTGGAAGGTTTGGTTTATTTGGGTTTTTTTTTTTTTTTAATATTGAGGTTTGACTCACAAATTGATCTTAGAATATTTCAAAATTACACAGAAGAGTACAATGAAAAGGCTAGGGTTTCTTGAGGTATCTGCAGACATTGTATTTTCCCCGATGATATGATTGTTCTTGCTGACTCAAACAGAGCAGCTACTGGAAAACTAGTGAACTATTTAACTTACTGAGGATTTATCAGGATAGACACCGGCTCGCAGCAGAGATGCCTTCCAGCTATCCACCTCCTCTTGGGAGTCACAGGCTAGCTCAAGGAAACGGTAATCCTTGTAAACATTCCTAGAACAAAGAGCACCATGTTGTAAAACTAGCATTTTACTACTCTGTATCATGCACACAGCATTTTAAATTAAAAATCCTTTGGGGTCAGAAATTACTTGGTAATTATTTTAGACAACAGAGTTTATGGAAGAGGTGCTTGTTTAATAATTACATGGAGTACTTGAAAGTATCTTAGAATGCTATGGCACAGCTCTGGAAATAATAATCATCTGAAAGCCCCATGAAACTACTTAAAATCAATTTTCCAGCTTTTGCCAAAATGAAGCACTTTTAGGAAAACAACACTGTTGTGATGCAGAGGACAAACAGGTAAGACACACCATCAAAACTGTGTGTCTCATGACTGCTGCTGTAAGTAATAAATATCAAAATAATTAATGATGCAACTTTTTCCATGTTAAATCCTTTCAGCGCATTATATAGGTTTTTTTTTAAAAAAAAAAAAAAAAAAAAAAAAAGCCGTCATCAGTAAAAGGGGAAAGAAAACAATTATAATCAGGTATTTTAAACTAAACAACCTCTGATGTCTGCCTTTGTAGTAAAAAAATTGGGACACATTTGAATAACACTTCTTGCAGGTAATCACATAATTAGATAAAATACAGGGAATCACTTAATAGAAAAAAAGAGAAAGGAGATAAAATACGTATGTAGGAAGGTAGGAAGGTGGTACTTGTAAACTCTCCAATAAACAGAACAGATTTTTCCCCTTACGGTTTAGCCATTACTTTCTGAATTCAAATTCTATATACAGACCAGATCACTGTAAATTTGTCAGCCAACAGTCTTTTTAGGAAAGGCCACAAGCTTAGCTGACAAAAGTTAGGAAACCACATTTTGCTAGATCTTAACATTTACACAAGAATCAGTCTTCCATCACAACCAGACTGTTTTCTTTCCTTAGCAAGCCATGTAGAAGGGGGAGGGGGGGTAGGGAGGGGGGTTGATGGAGATTACTTCACTTTCAAAGACAGCAGTGACAAGGGGTTTCATTATGCAACTGCAAAGGTAACTTCTGACACATATTTTGAGGGAGAAAATTTGCAAATACACTATAGAACCAGGAAGTAAAGCTATTATTATCATTGCCTAGACAAATTTCTTTAGCTTTCAGGGACTGGTGGGATTTCACTGTCACACTGCCGGAATACAACCGACTTGATTTAATTCCCACTCACAGAAGTGTATCTCCCTTACCAACAATGTCACCAGACAGCTCCTAGTCTTGCTTTTTAGGAGTAGTCTCAGGAAATAGATAGAAAACAGGTAGAAAAATTGTAATTGAACAGTAAACATTCATGCCTAAGACACTAAAGGGTCAGGTCCCGTAGTTTAGGCAAAGCCACTGACCATATGAATGACTGAAAGTTCTATGGATTTTTTTACTTGATTAAAAACTTAAAATTAAGCCTTTTTCTTCCTTAAATGCAAGTGTACTAATGTACATAAATGTAATCCTGCACTAATGTATGTAAATTGAATGTACATAAATGTACTAATGTACATAAATGTAATCCTGCCTTAAAGCAAATAATAGCCTGGATAACCTCCTCAGATGCTGTTATCTTAAACTGACAAAAAAACACTTGAATTTTATTCAATTTGCAATATTGTAGAACTCCGAGTCAACATTTACTGAACAAAAATAACTCAATGAAAATAAAAAGAGAAGCAAAAATTGAAGTGCCAGAGAAAAAAAAGCTTTAATTTATTGTTAGGAGAAACTTCTAATTAGGTAAATTTTTTAGCTATTTCCACTAGGCAGCTACAACTTTGAAGAAAATTTTATCATTTCAGGAAGATGAAATGATAAAAAGGGTACTCTCAGAAAAGATGACTAACAATAGAGTACATAAAGGCTGTAAAACATAGCAATAGGGAAGTACCAAAAATACTTGCTACAAGAGCAAAACAACATGACACCAGCTCACGAAAACATTTTTTCAAGACTGTCATGTTATATATTAAACTTTTTGGCATTTTGTGACTTGGTACATCAAGCATAGCTGTACAAGAAGGGTTTTTTGCCAGCTGCTCTGAACACATAGGAGCTTGCTGTCCTGCATTCCTGTCTCTGTATCAAGACTTTTCCTAGGTCTAGGGACACCTTATGGCTAAGCAGCTGACGTCTCCAGCTTTTCAAGGCCCCTCTCCCTGTCCCGTCTAAGAGTTCCACCATTTTAGTTCCACCACCACAAACGACATAAGTTTCAGTGTAAGTGATGACCCGAAGGACATACACACTGAGTCCGTACTTGGAAGCTTACAGTAGGGTAGGGAAATGGATGCTTGCCTCCCAAATCAGCTGCCTTGCCACTAGACTTCAGAAAGACTGACAGGCACAGGAACGTTACAAAGGAAAAGGCCAAAGTAACTTCTGAAAAGAGTGTGTCCTTTTTCTGTTACTAGTGGAATCTTACAAAAACACATTAATATGTTTTACTCATTAGGAATCCGCTGGTGTCTCATGGAAAGCTGTAAAAATGTTCTTGAAAGCAATTCAGATTTTCTGTTTTGTTTTCTCTTCCACTTTTTAAAAATTCTGAAGGTATCAGCACAAAAATGGTTACTACTCAATCCTCACCTACTTACTGTGTATGGAATATAGTGAGATCATGTTCTCATTGTCATCTTTATGGCAGCTAAATGGGATATTATGCATCAAAGACAATGATATAATGCAGGATATCCAGAAGCAAAAAAGATGAACTCTGAACAATACAAATAGTTGATATTCAGGCATCTTTAGCTCTAAGGGACTGTAGAAACTAAATAGTTACAATAAATGGGAATATACCTAGAAACACAATTTGCATGCAACATTTCCCTTGAATATTTAACATTTTTGAAATGTGAACATATGAAAGGGTAAGCTGTGTGTAAAGTTATATGCATATACCACATCCACCTATGCTGCTTCCTCCTGTAGGGTCTCACAATTGCAATTTAATATCATGCACAGAACATGAAAATATAGTGCCATTACTGGAAATTAACATAGTGATACTTTTTCCCAGAGTTTGTTACCTGCAGATTGTATTATACTCTAGATAAATAAACCTCAAGAACTGTATTCCAGAAAAAAAACACAGCATAATTGTTAATGGAGATGAACAGACTACTGGACTAAAAGCATCATTTCCAATTCCAGTTTAGTTTCACATTCACGGCACACCTTCTCTAGGCCAGGCCCATTATTTGAAAGTCTGCTTTACTATTACCTTTGTTTCCAATAGACTAGATTCCTTCCCTCCATATATTTCAGGTCCTAAAGTGAACTTCCTAATACAGAAATGAGCTTTACATTGTCCATAGGCATTTCTTTAAGCCCTCCCATCATGGAAGAATCCTAACATGAAAATGCAGGAATGAAGTAAGGTATTTGAAAGTGTACAAGAGGAAACAGAGAAGCGCCAGGTAAGTTTGAAGACTGAGCCCAGCTGTGAGTTACTGAGAATCCTGTCCAACTAGTCTTGAAGCCTGGGCTGGCAACATTGCATAGAGAAGGCTTAATTGCCTGTAAAACAGCAGAACTAAACAATCCAGGACCAACACGTGAATAACATACAATTGAAAGTCACAGAGAAAAAACTTTCTAGTTGCCTGCTACAGTGGAGGCGATACCACTAGGCTTCCCTCTACAGCAGTTGCACATCAAAACTACTTGCTATCTGAACAACTTTAACTGCTGGGCCTGAATATGTACAGTATATCTTGCAATTTCTTAATACTTAGCTAGGGTTAAATATTTATCTCCAACAAACCTAGAAAGATTTTAAATGCAACTCCTGTAGACATATTACAAACCCAGTTAATACGTGTGCATATATATTAATGCATATCCACAAATCAACCATATCTGTAGGCAGTTTTTAGAGTGAATTTGATGTGGAACATTTTGGTACAAAAAGATGCACTGTATACACATGTCAAATATTCTTTATATAGAGAAACTGCAAACCAAGATTAAACAAAGATGCATTTATTCTTGCCAATATGGGAAGAGACAGAATTTGCAGAGCAAGAATAGTAGTCAAATTTTTAAAATTATGCCTATAAGCCACTTTAACCCTCCAAAGAACACAAAACCACATTTAACTTCAGCAGTTGCACTGAAACAAGTGAAGCTACTCACAGACTGAAGGAGAAAGGAATCTTATTCTACATGGATTTCAAACAACTCTGCTTATGATCTCAAATGAGGTTTTGGGAAACATTTGGACTTTTTATTATGCAAGCAAATTAAAATGAACATTAGGAATCTAGAACCAAATGCAGAGAAGCCCAATTTTATTCCATCATAAAAAAAACAAACCAAACCAAAAAATCAATTCTTGGATATTTTTATTTGATTGTAATTCAAATCACACAGAATATGGATTTCATAAATAGACGCCTAAAATAAAAAAGGGAGAAAATAACAGAATCCAGATACTCCATGCATATTCAGGAAAAATAATCTTGGATGAAACTCCACTCTATGTTCTCTATCTGATCAGCCTGCAACTCTACTACATACACTCTGTTTATTCAACCTTGGTCTTAGTTTACCATTTTAGACACCTGTAATTCCACAATGGCTGTTTGAAGACATGCATTATTTTTCATATAAGAAAGCTGTACCAGAGGCACTGCAAGTCATATATTTTAAAGAAACAAAAATGATCATCTGCTCTAAGTTAACAGCAATGACTAACATTTTCTATCAAGGCATGCCATTTCAGATCAGTCTAATGTGAATGCTAATGAAAATTAATTACGCATGTCTCTGAAGATTTTTTCTTAATATATCCTGAAAGCCAAAGAGACAATCTCTGAAACATTGTCATGAAATAATAGCACTTAAAGATTTTACCAACTAACTCATATAAGTGGTCTTCCAGAAGTGTAAAGATCTTTTCAAGTTCATACACACAAATACACACAGAGAACCAAACAATTTTAACTTTAAAGTGAAAATTAACAGAAGATATGCTGATCAGCATATAGCCAAGCCT